ATAATAAATGTCGATTCTGATAGGATGTTAAGGAACAGTTAAAAATTGCATATTTTATCACTTTCAGAAAATTGTACATTTAGAATGATAGAATGCATAGATTGGTAGGGGAAACGTTTCAAAACTACTATTTTAAACTACTTAATGAAATATTAAACAAATTATCTTATAACAATATCTTGAACAAGTATTGTTGAGATACGGCTTAGTGATCAATTTCACCGCGTTTTAAGGTACCTCGAAAGAACCACTCATGTTTCCAAGAAGGGGAAATCTCCTACGCAATCTACAACAAGAACTACTCATGTTTGAATACATGTTTTCCAACGTTGGAATCTTCAATAGTTTTCTAAGTCGATTATCTTTTAATAAGGATCGAGTACACTATCCATTTGTATTCCTTTAAATTCCTTTGTACTTTCCGACATTTCGACTATTCCATCTTCTACAAGGTCAAGACAAACACACAACAACAAAACCAAGCCTTTAATTCCTTGAAGAAGATGGAATATTTTATCGAAACGTCGGGAAGCAGAACCGCAAACATCGCTTTAGCTGCTTATTACAGACTCTGAGAGCCGAAAAACAGCCCCATAAGTTCAATCTATTCACATCACTGTTATACCCGACGCGCACCCTGCGCATTCGACATGTGATGTTCGAATGAACAGACGTCAAACTTCGTAAGCCTTCGGGCAATACGTTTGGCTGTCGATTGTTTACCTGCGAAATATACGAGAGCACACAGGTCAAACTGTTTTGTGACTTGAAGTAGAACGCTTGTCCTTTTTTATGAGTCTTTAGTAATCACGGTTCTTTGGTGATATAAATTACCCCTTAGGGAATATAGTTATAATTTAAAAATCACCAGTAGGAGGAATAACTTTTTGTTTATGTATATTTTTCATTTGACATTGATATTGTAGAATGCATTTAATCTCGTTATCGGCCGTGTTCTATTTGATGAATGTCCAATTAAATTTGTCAAGGCAAACTTATTTCTGACAGACAAGGAATCAGTTTTGACAGACATCCTCTCGAAAAATGGTCGATCAACAACGGAGGGATTTTCGAACATTCTAATTTATTCTCGAAGTGTCAAAATTAAGTGGAAATCCACCGAATGGAACACAGGCTTAGGCTGTGTTCCATTTGGTGAATTTTCCACGGGGTATTCAACTCTGCACACCTTAATCTGTGCCAAGAGTTTTGGCAGTGCCGAAAGCTGTGCCAAGCGTTATGCCGATCATTCCGAAGTAGGCCGAATTGTATAAATCAAGGTGTCAATATCCCATGAGTTTGGCAACCCTGAAGTTAGACTTTTGTGATTGTGTTTGCATTTTCAATTTTTCTAATTCATGACCATGGTTCATGGTAAATATTAAGCTTCATTCTCATTAGAATGAAAGCGGATTGGGAAGTGGAAGAGGAACTGGAAGCAATATAACCTATACAATCCGTCCACAAGAAACGGACGGTGGTCGAAATTTTCACCAGCGGCCAGTAAAATGCTCCCCGACAAAATCAAACCCAGAACTCGAACGGACGAAAGTTCACTCCCACCCTAGAAACAACATCCTCGAAACAGTTCTGATCGACTCAGAACTACGCAACATCGAAGACATCACCAAGCCTATCGTATCGCAGATTATGAGGTCTCCTACCATCAACCAACCAAGCATATCAAGTTCACGATTCTTTGCAGATGTGATACCTTTCGCAAGGTACCACCGATCAAAACCAATGGCCAATGTACCAGCAGTGAAAACCATCAAATGTCCCCTCACTTCATATCTGTCATACCTCGGAAATGGTGCACGATCCACATAAACTTCGCATCTGCAGTTCAACTCTACCCTGTCGTTGTTGTTGTTCATCTGCACGTCCATGGGATCTTGCCGAACAGCAAATTACTTAGTGTCGTCATGCGTTATGCACTTTCGAGATTGATTGATTGATTGATTGGTAGGCTACCCATCGCACCGGATCCTTTTGAGACGAACTAGTGCAACAGAAGAGTGCAGATTGGATCGTTGATGATGGAGTGTGCTCACGGAATAGAATATAATTGCATTTTTGATTGCATTGATCTGTTCCTATAAATCCTACAGTGTTTCGCTAAGGCTAATACCCCGTTCACATTACAGCGTATATCACGTGAAAACTAGATGTATGAGTGATCATTGCAAGACAGCGTATATCACGTGATATACGCTGTAATGTGAACGGGGTATAAGACAATTGTCCAGACCTGATGGAATATTTTGGGTTAATACGTATTGACATCCCCCAATAAGTACTGGGACCTGTAAGGACATCCCTATAAAGTCCTGTGGATTTCCCATCGAAGTCCATACCAATTGAAACCAATGACTGGCAAGGATACCTAAGGAAAAACGTAGAAGAAAATGATAAAATTTTCATACCGAAAGACCTTTAGCAAGACCGGGATTAAAACCTGGCCGAAATACAAAACCCATCACCCTATGATGTGTTTTTTCTTCTTTATCGTTCGTTCTGCATAACAACCTTGTAAAACGAAACAAAAATCCTCCGCAGCTGGCTTAATATTGTCGTCGTTCAGAGGATTTTTGTCCATTCAGTTCACCGATCGCACTCCGCACCGTACCGTCGTATTGGACGATCTTACAGGCATTTGACCAACCATTGCTGGAGGGAATCCATTTTGGCCATCTTGACTTTCGTATCGACCTTCTTGTCCGACCATGGTGTGGAAAAACTCTGTTGGCGTTAAGCTATTTTGGACGAAACCACGAGTCGCTGGAATTTTCACTACGTATCGGATGAGATAAACTTAGTTTCATGGTGTAGACCGGTGCAGGCAATACTCACAGAATTTTTCCTTGGAATCCGAACCCAATGAAGCCCAATGGAGTAAACAAAGAAGTCAACCTTAGCAACGATTGGCAAAACGTCAACTCTCGACAGTGATGTCTTTTTATATTATGTTGATTGGATCCTACTTGCCAACGTTTGCCAAATAGTGTGCCATGCTGTGTTTCGGCACAGTGTGCAGAGTTGATTACCCCTTGGAACTTTCACTTAAATTAGACACAATTCGAAAATAAATTATACTGTTCGAAAATCCTTCTCTTGTTGATCGTCCGATTTTCGAGAAGATGTTTGTCAAAATTCATTCCAGATCTGTCAGAAATAAGTTTGCTGTATTAGCAGGTATATTTGAAAATTTTCCATCTGTCAAATTTAGGTGAAAATTAATCAAATGGAACACAGTCTTAGCCGATTATACAATAGTTAAGTCTTCAAACAAACAGGTGTCCGTTAACCCCACTATCCGTCTTACCCCGAATACCCCTAAAGTGCGCAAGTACTGTAGAGAAAAGCTCCTGCGTATTGCCGATTATCAACCGTAGTGCCTTTCGTTTAACATTGAAGGGATATTCATGAGCGGTCATCAAGCGCTGATGTTATGTCCGTGATGGGAAGGGTATAGCTCGCGATGCACAGCAAACATAAGGAGAAGAAAGAAGTAGACCCGAAAAGTTTAAGGCTGTGTCCCAATTACCGAGTTAAATTTAACTCATAGTTAAAAGTGACATTTCGAATATTATTTTCCTTGTTCGTAAATGCTATCGATCTACCGGTTTACGAGTAGAACTCAGCCACGGTTCTCAAAAACTAACTTCTTGTCTGTCAGAAATAACCACACTCGGATAGCAGGGTTAATCGATAACTTTCCATCTGTCACTTTTAACTACGAGGTTAATTTAACTCGGCAATTGGGACACAGCCTAAGAAACAAGTACATTTGGATGCTGATCCGCACACAAAATGGCTCAGAAACCTTATGCCTACCAGAACCGAAATTCAAGTTGTGAATCTTCACGACCGGTTCATCCAACGTTTTCAACCATTCTCGAAAGCATCTCTGCGCTGGTCTGCGCCACTATGTTCACTTTACTAAAAATACGACAGAGGATCAAATAAATGACCCTATTTTGACAGTGCTGTGAGGGCTACATCTGATGCACGACGACGAATACTCTTGAACTTGAAAAAAATTGCGATTCTGTAACGATGAGCTATCGCGATGAGCGAGCAATCAGCGGTCATATAATCTCTAGTTGTGACCTTTTGAAAGTTAAATTGACTAATTTTATATGTCATACACAAACTTTACCACCTCTTCTTGCTTTTTATAAATAAAAATTATCATCTCATAGTTTCTTAATTACGAAAAATATTTTTAAGCTGTAATTAGTATTTGCAACTTTGCCTTAAACTTTTGAAAAAGCTACACTGATTTATTGGTCTGTCTGTGTTTTTTAGTCAGACGAGCGGTGCGACGAGTAAGCGTCTAGAATGGGCTTCCTAAAGAAGCTTCTTCTAGAATCTTCCTTAGAAGCTTCTTTTAGAATCCTCATGAAAGGTTCTTTTAGAGTCTTCTTCTTGAATCTTCTTTTAGTAGCAAATCTGAGTAGCTACGCAGTAATTGAGCACTTGTCAATGATTGTTGGAGAATTCCAGCGTTTTAATGTGGTAATAATCATTTTCCCATTAACGGTCTTGTTGGCTACATGGGAAATCCACGAAGAATAAATCCCTGTCATTCACCAAATATAAAAGAGAAACTAGTTTTCCAGCTTGAGAAAACTTTACCCAGTTCGAGCGGGAATTGACCCCGCCCTTCGTGGCAAAACACCATTAGATTCAAACTAGCTGGCAAATTAAAAAATTGCTAGATAATACATTAGCGAATCAAACACTATCGGTGATTACCGAAACCTAGCAGCACTTATCAGCTCTGACCTATTTTTCAATCCACGTTCTACAGTCCACCGAAAACAGTAATTTTCACGACATCCTCAAAAACGCAATCATTAGCACCTTCCGCCTTGACTGGCTCTCTCCCGTCCAGTTCGCCCCATTTACACATTCCCTCACGCGCATCATCCACACATAAGTCGGCGGAATCAGGTTGATTTGAATGTATGTCTTGATTCTAGTTCAGTTCTTACCGTTATTTTTCCCTCCACTTCACGTCCACTTCTCTCTGATGTGTTGTGTAGATGTGCGCCTTGGAATGCGCTCGCGCCTGTGCTTCTCCAGTCTCCTCGTTAGTCCGGCTTGGAGCTCGCTCCGTACGCTTACACTTCTGCTGACGTTGTTGTTTTGCAGCACCTGGGATGCTGGTGAAAAGAAAGATCGGGGACCGTTCTTCCCTTCTTCAGTTTCCCTCCCTATCTTTCTCCCTCGCGGGTTCACACAAAACAAATGCAACGAGAAATTTCCTCTTTTTCCCCGGACCGGACTGGATCAGAGGAAAGTCATTAGCCTTTGGCCAACAGCACTGGGGCTCCACACTTGGCAGTACCGTAAGAACGTATAATTTTCACTTTCCAGGTGTAATTGAACTTTCTTCACAGTGATTTTCGATTTCTGCACTTGGCTTCGGGGCGCACAAGCCGTTCCTCACAGTAAATTATACAGTACCAACGTTCTTCCGAAACGCACCGAAATTTGACTATGATTGACCAATCTCGGTCGATCCCTTTTTCGTACGAAACGGCTATCGGGAAAAGATCCCTTCCGGAGTAAAGATTCACAAATTCCGGAAAGTATTAATTTTCCTTCACACCCACTGATAAATTTAAGGTATCTCAGAGTTGGTGCAATACTGGATTGCTGGTTTAAGTTTGCTGGCGCTAATCTCTGTTTGGGATCTCGGATTTGCGTCCGTTCGCTTTGGTTAGTGCCTTCCGACTGACTGCAGAAGAAGCTGGCTGGCTATCATCGACAAAAAAGTCCAGGAGAAGCTGGGTTGGGCCTCGCGAGCGGAAGAGATAAAGAAGTTATACATACACATAATTTTCTTAAACTCCACGGTAAGCGAGCGATTGCGGTTTGGTCGTTTATTTTCTTACCGTTTGTTGTTGGGTGCTATTGAATAAAAGCTCCCATGCTCAGTCGCTCAGACGTGTACGGTTCTTGTGAAAGAAAGTTCGCAGAAGATCATGATTTCATGAAAAATGTCGTTTGAAATTTTGCTGCTTGACTTTTTTTTTATTTTTATGCCTTCAAAGAGGAGTCTTGGTGTTCGCTCCTGATCATCTTGGACGATTGAAATTCTCAGTACTCAACTAGTAGTATGCTTTATCATGATCATGTTTACCATATAATCCACATTGATGTTCCTGGATCATCCACTCATTGGAGTCAGGCCGCAATGCAATAAGCCGTAGATTCCAGCAAATGTGGTTTTTTGTTCTCGAACAACTCCCAACAACTACATTCAAGAATTATATGCGCATAAAAAACATTCGATATGTACTGATCCATGTAACTAAACTTTCAATGTCAATCAATGGTAATCAACGAACATGTCTGGTATTTTGCTTATTCCTGCCCATTTGACTCATATGACTCAAAAGTGAGCTTGATCGTCTCGAATACGAATAGGAATCGATGAAAATTTTACTCAGACTACGAGTATGCTCACATACTAATTAAAATTTACATAGTTTTTTTTTTCTTCATATTCGAGTAGATTTTCAACTGAAAAACGCAGTAGGCTCTGCCAGCGAACGGTTGGTTTTGTTTTCGCTGGCGCTGATTTCATCTGTTTTTCGGATTTTTTTAATTGTACAAATCAAACAAATCAAGCATAATTTTTCAAAAGGACGTATGTAACATTGGATAGGAAATTAGAAACATTGGATAGCAATGTCTACATGAGATTATTAAATGCTATTTAAAAGTTAATGCTATTTTTTTAAATCTGTTTGTGCTATAAGTTGGATAAAGGGATAGCGTTTAAGAGAATTGTGAAAAATGTCGAGTTTTGCACACACGGACAAGACTTTTGATAAAACAAAATCATACACCTTTTACTTGCACAGCAAAAAAATAATTTTGATATCACATCAAAGTGGATGCACTACAATCATGTCGAAAATTTCATGTAATTTTTATGACCACATAAATAAACAAATGCAGTAAAAGCAGCGTAATGTCAGTTCATGCATTGTTTTAATGATAATTTTGTCCTTTTTAGCAAGTAATATTACACCATATTTTCGACATGATTGTAGTGCATCCACTTTGACGTGATATCAAAATTATTTTTTTGCTGTGCATGTTGCTGTCGGAAATACAAAAAACAAACATACAAACTTGACGCATTTGCTGATTGATAGTGGTTGCTTTGTTTTTTCACATACGACGCTTCACTGTGAGCGTATCTGCAGTTTTTGTGTTATCATCACATTTTAACAGTTAAGTCATGTTGACAATAAGAGGGTGTATCAACACCATTTTAAAAACAATGAAAGAAGGTCACATAGGGCATTCATTAAATATATTTTCCATATTGCATTACAATTTCAAACCTTGTTTTTCATTAACTCGTAGGAAAAGCATGTATTTTATATTCGGTTAGATGAAAAATATCGATTTGTTTATTTTTGCGACTTACGTCCTTTTGAAAAGTTATGCTTGAAATATTAGTTTTTGCGTGTGGATAAGTATAAATTAAGATCTATCACGTCTTAAGAAGTTTTTTTAGTGATATTGTAATTAACGTGAAAAATCTGGGACAAAAATTTGTTTCAAGTAGCTGTGTTGCTGTGGTGTCGCGTCGGTCGGTTTTTCATTTCGCTTGTTTTTGGTGCTTTGCCTCCCTCACAAGAAGAGTTTTACCGGGCATTTTTTTTTCTTTTTTTGGTGCTGGCGTTCTGCCTTCCGGAATGAGGTGTCAAACAAAAATTCAGTGCAAATGAAAAACTTCGAATGTGATTCAAAATGTCGTGTTGGGTTGTAAAAACAACGCGGAAGATTTTTTCGATTACCGCGAGTGAACAAACTGGTTCTTTTTTCGGAGGCAGAATTTGGTGAGATCCATCTGATTTATAATCAATCATAAATGCATATTTCCAAAGTTCTTTCCAAAAAGAATCAGATCGTCGATGAACGACCGAACTCCAGGAATATTTGCAATCATGCTGTCTATCAAGCGTTGGAATGCTCCTGGAGTTGACTTCACTCCTGTGGCGAGCCTGTTGAACTGGAACAATCCTCTGTGGAGTCGTCATCCACTTCCACCTGTAGGTAGGCATCCGAGAGATCAATAATGCTGAAAATGTAGTGATTGGCTTCCAATGAATCGTTTAGTCCCGTAGAATAATCCGCACAAATACGTACCCGTCCGTTTGGTTTCTGAACTGCTACAATTGGTGCTGTCCATTCTGAGAAATCCACTGGTGTGATGATTCCAAGATTCTGCAGACGAGTTAACTAAGCATAAACAAGTGGAACTGATCGTCTTGGAAAAAATACAGGTTTAGCTTCAAGCTTCAGGAAAAGTTCCACCTTTGTTTTGTTGCAATGACCCATGATTCAACTTGAACGTGTTTTGCTTGAAGTTGTCCTTAGATCCAAGCGGTTACAGATTGAATTGAACGGTACTGACCATAGGCTTAACAGGTCAATCCACTCAACCATACTATTGATAGCGGCCTCGCATTGGAACTCACCGATCAGACCTAGAGGTTCGTCGGACGCATTTACAGCTGATGGTAGCTTTGCTTCTGGATGGTTGAGCATTTTTCAGGTTGATTCGGAAACCACTGTAATGTTACTTGTGGAATCCAATTGAAGTGAAACTGCAACTCCGTTGATAACAGTCGCTACAAATTTCCTCTTTCTTGTTTGATTCCCGACAAAAAGACTTCTGGTTTGGGCTGAAGACTTGCTTTTCTTCCCCTTGAAACGCTTTTCTTGAGATGGCTTGAATGAGCTGTCCGGGGCTTTCTTGACGCAGCCGCAGTACCCCTCCTTATGGCCTGTTTGGTTGCAAGTCTTACATTGACGTGTAGAAAACAGGCAATCACGAACGAAATGCATTTGGCCGCATTGTCAACAAGGAGTACTGGGCGACTTTCCTTCCGCTTTCATCGAATGCTGTTGAAGCTTACCAGTTTTGTTCTCCGAAATCTCACGAACTGATGGCTTCAAGCTTGATGGCTGCTCAATCACCGTTGTGTCCGCTGTCAACAATTCGTTGAAATTCGTCGATCAGGGTCTGGAGCGTTACTGGAATATTGCATGACATGTCTCATAAATTTACATGATCTATAATCTAAACTTGTATGATATATGACGCTCCATTTATGTGCATCATAGTAACGGAAATTTACAATACTTTTTTTAGCTGTGCGCCATAGCTACACACTTATAGCGAATTCGTTTATTATCGGGGTTGGAACCAGTTCCAACCCAGTGCGAAACCGAACTTTTTGTCAGTGCGAACCTCAACCTGAGCTGGGTTTTAAAAACAAACGATCAAACTGACGTTTGTCAGAAAACAAGCAAACCTAATCTTGATACCCGATCCAGGTTGGAACTGAATAATAAAAAAATAATAATTAGAAATAACTACTTTTACACGAGACGTAATTTATATTGGACGTAAATCATAGAACGTAAATAAACATTTCATGTAAAATTAAGTGTTCTCAAACCGAAACATCAGCTAGTCGACGAAGAGAACGTTTGATTGAATTGATTTTCACGTTTCTTTCAACTCATTCTTATGTCAAGAGGCCCACTTACATGTGTCGGTCTCAGGGAACCGAAATTTACATGACTTTTTAGTAGTGTGTAATTATGTCTTCGCCGAAACATCTATGGAAAATTGAGGGCTGCGTACCATACCTTCTTGAGCGTAGAGATTGTTTCGGCGAACTGCAAGTCTTTAGGTTGCTGAGCAGGATTCCAAGATAATTCTAAAATAATGTCCTAAAGGATTCTGATATGAATTCCAAGGAATTTCAAAGGAGACGAATGAAAGTTCTGAATTCAATTTCTAGGTTATTCTTAAGGGCCACCCACATTAGATCCAGATCTGACGCGTTGCGACAAAGTGACAGCTAAATCTATTGTATAACTGTCAAATTTACGTCAACGCAAACGCATACGGATCTAATGTGGGTAGCCCTTTAAAATAATTCCATTAGAATTTGAAATGAAAATCATGAAGAATTCCTAGGTGATTCTGAGAAGCGGATTTATGGAGGTCGTGAGGAGAATATCAAGTAAATTTTAAGAATAATTCTATGCAATTTTGGTGAGTTGAACTGGTTCAATATTTTGGGCAAATTATGTTATCTAATTTTAAAAAATCCTATTTTATTTAAGCCACACATTCATTCAATGAGCTTTTTTGAAATAAAGGTTACAGCCTCCTATCTTCACATTCAAGTCCTTGTGAGTTACTGGATGTAATCAATTTTAGGACTGAACTGCACACTTAGAAAAAATGATGTAAATTTAGGTTCCTTGAGACTGACATATACGAGCGTTAATATTGACATAAAATTGAGTCATGATAGACGCGAAATGCAGCTTTTGAACTTTTCAGTCTCGGAGCACTTAATTTTACATGACATGTTTGTTTACGTCTCATCCTTTATGTCAACGATGTATTCCGTCACGTGTAAGATTAGATATTTCTAAGTGTGCGGTGTGGGGCCTTCCTTAGCTCAGTCGGTAAAGGCGCAGCTACA